CGAGTCGCCAAAATCTTTACAAGGCCCCTTCAAGGTAATGTGGACATGTTTTGCTGCCCCGGATGAAAGTGATAGAATCTAACGAGCTATGTAAATAAAGACTACGAGACTTTGCCGAATATGTACGTCGGTTTTAAGCTCAACACACCAAAGACGCGATGCGCCTTGCAGAACTTCCGTGACAAGCTTAGAGCTATTTCCAAAGAGGTTCGCAAAGATGCTCGACAAGAAACTATTGTGCCAGGATGGGATATCATGGATCCCAACAATATTCCCAACTATTCGCTTATCTAAAAGTTTGGATTTGACTCATTCTTATACCGGTTTTGCATCGTTTCCACAAGAAGCGACCTTTAGTTGTGATTCCTAAGCCTTTCAATATTCCATAACACTGAATATACTCAACCACCGAGGATTTCGATAGGCGAGTTTTTTGATGGTATAACACGTTATAACAAAAAATATTACATTTCGAAACGGACGTGGGTATATTTGATAGTGATGTTGAGAACCACTTCATGAGCTTCATAAGTCCAACACAAAGCCTATACAAAGGAATGGTTCGGAATATTGTAGGGGTCCATTATATCCCATCCTGGCACGATCGTTTCTTCTTGAGCATCCTTGCGAATCTCTTTGGAAATAGCTCTAAGCTTGTCACGGTAATTCTGCAAGGCGCATCGCGTCTTTGGTGTGTTGAGCTTGAAGCCAATGTACATATTCGGCAAAGTCTCGTAATCTTTCATTTTCATGCAACTCGTTAGCTTTTATAACAACCATCGTGTGCACAAAAATAAGGTCCAGCGTACCTTGAAGGGGTCTTGAAAAGACTTTGACAACTCGAATGTGATTTAGCGCATTCTGTAGCGGTGGCAACCACTCAACAATGTTTTCTGCAGTGATCGTTCCTTTTACTCTAGGCAGAGGTTTGTACAACACAAAGGGCGCGGATGGTAGTGCACCTCTATAGCTTAGCGAAAAGGCATTCATGACTGCGTGTAGAGTTGTGGATATGTAGTGCAGGTGTCCCAACGCTTTTGCAAGCTCAGCTCTTGTTCTGAAAGAGGATGGGAATCCTCGCACGCGCGCTTCGGTGGTGACATCCGCGGCAAAGGCCTGAAGCTCAGGATCGGCTACAATGGCAGCGTCGTCAGGATAGTAGATTGAAACCAAGTCAGAATAGAGGTCTTGGGAGGCTTGGTAGATGGGCATGATGTATTTCAAATGTGGGTTTTTGGGGATGTACTGAACGCCACGCGCTGGTAAAGCCACAGTTGGATCCTTGTCATAAAATGACCAGTTTTGGTACCTGAAAGGAGATTAGGCTCAGTATCATTGTATCAAAACGCAGTATATAAGAAAGATACTCACAAGTTTGAAACAGCAGCGACAGTACCATTCGAATGGAATGGCAGAGATGCCACGAACCCACCATACAAAGGCGCAAACCCGACTGTAACTCCCGTAGCCGCAATGCCCAAGTTTTTGTTCGTAATACCGTCCAGCATAGCATAGACGGGATGAGTCGACACCAATTCTTTGTTCATTGACGTGACGATGGGTAAGATTGAAAAGTGGGTCTCCAAGAAATGATCAGTCAAACCTATACGAGATCTAATATGACATTGACCAGCTGGATTAACCAAAAAGGATTTAGCTTAATCGAAGGAAAATAACATACCCCTCGACCGCCGTAAGTGCAATCTTGGCCAGCTGCCAATCCCACCCATCCATTGGCGTGAAAATAACGTCGTTTGGGAATAGTTGGATGGCCAAAGGCATCAAATCCCCAGCATCATCGACGTAGAAGAGAGCCTTGGGAGCAGCTGAGTATACCCCGGATCGATGGTACGGAAGTGCCTGGATCATAAACTGCGAATGGTCAACGTAGAACAGCCGGTTTTGTCGGACAAGCTCAGCGATTGTTTTGGATTGAAGTATGCTTGAGACGTCAGAGTCAGTGATATTCATTGGCAAACTGCTCAAGGATTGCACAATCGCCAGGTATTCAGGAGACCAGGTAACCTTTGAGCGTCCAAAGTATGCATCTGTCAAGGCGTTGGGGTTGTTGCCTGCTGGTACACCTATAATCCTGTAGAGTTTGTCGTAGCTGCGAAGTATATTCTAGTCAGCACCTTCAAATCAAACACGGAATAAAGAGAGAAAATGCTTACTCGTTGAGTGAATTGAAACCAGTAAAACCTTCTCTTGCTAACATAATCTCCGTCTCAGCAACATCTTCGGAAACTCTTGCAGAATATGGAACAAAAAGCTTTGAAAACAAGGCGTGGATACCGTTGGCGTAGTTGGTACCTAAGATACCACCCATGGCCGGCGGATACGGCATCTCCTCGTTTTGGATGTGAACAAATCCTTCCTTCCTCCGTTTAAGGCGAATCTCACGTGCGAAAGGGTCGGGTTCCCTCTGCGGCACGAACAGGCCATCGTCGTACTTCCCATCACAGACATGCGGTCCATTGTTGAGCACAACGCCAAGAATTGAGGCCACGACGCCCACAGCTTGCATTCCGATCAGAATACATTGAGTACGCACTTTAGTAGCGGCTCTTTCGCGTTTTTGAGCTTTCTCTTCTTTCTCGTTTGAGTCTGAATCCGGGCTGATATCCACATTTTCTACAGTAACATTGTCCCTCATATCCACTTCATTTTCTGCAATGAGTTGCCTCAACGCCTGGGCTCTATCATTCTCCATTAGATTCTGGTACAAGGTGTGGCACCAAACTTGAGTTATCGTCAAAGAAAGTGTACCGAGCGTCAGAACGACCACCCAAAGCCACATAACCCCCTTCGTCTTGCTCTCTCCTCCCATAACAATAAATGTCGTGATCGCGACTGAAAGACAGTTAATGAGAGTGCGGATGATAGTAAGCGGCCATTGACACGTGTGGCCAAGGATGGAGACGAGGAGTTTGGAGACGTTAAATTTCCTAACTAGGAGGTATTCATGTGGTATACAGTCCAAAGTCTATAGCAATGAAATTATTACATTCGATAACAAATTAAATTAAAAGGAAAAGGTTTCTTACCATCTGGATGAGCATCACTTGGGCGGTCACGAAAACGAACATCCGACAAAACAGATCCTCAACATTGATAAGAATCAATATCCCCACCGTTTGTAGTGTAATACACGTCAAATGATGCACAATAAGCATTGGTGACATGTTTCTTGGTCCAATGTAGGCGATTTCGTAGGTGTAAGTCATCATAGTGTAGATCTGGAGCGTGACCATGGCAGTAGCTCCAGAAACGGAAAGTCTAAAGTACTCGTCGCGGTAAACGAGGGAGCTTACTGCGGTGGGGACGATGTTAACAGCCAAGATGATAAACGCGGCGAATTCTAAATTTCTGACAGTCAGATGATAAGACAAGCAGGGTCAAAACGGGTAACATGCCTTGGAATAGATATACAAAGTACATTGCAGTCTTCTCAGGATTTTGGTACCCTCGCAACGCCTTCACAAACGCCTGCACAACAAAGTGGTGAAAGATCAAGAAAGCGCTAGAGCACGTGTACATGATGGCCAAGTATCCCAGAAGGAACGAGTCCAGGGTCATGACGGGCTCATATTTGCCGATGCTTTGCCAGAGGCCGACGGCGAAAAAGATAGCGTATACGATGCCGACGAGGCTGAAGAGCTTCTTGAGGTTTTGGGAGCCTTTTGAGGAGGGTATTGTGTAGCTTTTGGTTTCCGAGTTGATAGTTGTTGCGTCGCTGTCCTTAATATTCGTATCTGAAACGAGAGCGTTTCATTAGTATAAGATTGAGAAGAATGATACAGATCATAACCTACCCTTAGCTGTACGTTGCGAGCGGATAGTGACTGAGTCGCTGTCTTTGGCACGCATGGCTAAAACGATTGCAAGATGCAAGCTCTTAGTAGTCGTGTTAAGGCCAGAGTAGTCCGAAAGTTGACAATACCTTTCGATGTGCTTTGGGATCTGGTAGTCTCTGATTTCCGACTTTAGTATCTATGGCTGCAACGATACAAAACCTGTCGCTTTAAGGCAAATACGACGCGATAAGTAAATGAGGGAGTCACGACGAAGTGTACAGTCAATGTCTAGAACATTCTGAACGTTCTTTGAACTAAACTTTACGGCGTTTTTGACCGCTACGACTGATACAACAATGAAACATCCAAACCGCGCATGCTCTGCATGTTGCTCTATCATTCTGATTGGAGATATAAAAGGTCAGATTTTAACGTTCGAAGAAACAGCAAACTCCCCCCCAATCACCCATTCTTTGACCAAATAATCGGCTCATGGAGATAAGAGTTTGGGGCCGATTGAGCGACGCCGACCAATGCCCATTGCTTGATGATGGTTGTCGCTTGGCTACATAAGTTCTTCACATGTTTCCCTAAGCTGGGCACAAGCTCTCGCTCATCGCGTCGACGTAAAGAGCGATTTTGGTGTCTACTCCGGATGGTACATTGGACCAAGCTAAACGGTTAACGTGATGCTGATTGCTGCGACGTATAACAGCTTGAGAAGATAAATATAAGGTAAAAAGAATCTAGTCTTGCACAAAAATTACTAGCAACATATACACTACGAAATCAATCAAATAATGTGGTCGCGTGGTGTAGTCGGTTATCACGTCTGTCTAACACACAGACGGTCCCCGGTTCGATCCCGGGCGAGACCACAATCCTTTTTTGTCGCTCTCGTAGTGTAGACGCGCTCGTAACGTGTTTGCTGATGGGAGTTGGGTGCTGATTCAAAGCCAGACCGCACTCTCTCTCCATGCGTGAGTTTGCTAATTTGCTAACCGTATTCCTAATAAGATTGGGATTTTTTGGTGATGTTGATCAAGTGCACCAAGCTTTATAGATCGATTTGATCAATGATAGGCTTGAAGGGTACCACTTATGAACCAAAGTGATGGGCCGGAACGGGAAAGTTGTTAGAGAGAGATAATGACTGCTCATAAATATATTTGATGCCCACCAAAGTCACTGACAAATATCATTGATAGACTAAGGTAGTTCTCAAGATCATCACGATTCCGTAGATTCCTGTTCGCGAATATAAATACCTTTCCGCGGTCAGAGCACGACAGTATCTCACAACAGCTTCTCATCTCCTTCTATTGCAAAGCCTACCTTCAAGAAGCAACAATAATGCGCACCACTACCGTTTCCATCTCCGCTTTGGCCGTCGTCGCCTCTTTGCTCCACGCCACCACAGCGCTTCCCGCCAATCCTTCCATGAACGTCATGGCCACGCCGACCGACGCGAATGCCATGGCCGTACCCACTGAGATTGTCTTGGCTGCACCCACCGTCAACATGCCCAACACCACTGAGACTACCACCATTGCTCAAGTCGAGCCTGAAGAAGCGGACGTCTCTGAGATGGAGCCCGAGGAGGTTGAGATTGCTGCTCCTGAGGAGAATGACGCCGAGTCTGCGGCGCCTGAAGAAACTGACGCGGAATCTGCTGCTCCTGAGGAGAATGATGCCGAGTCCGCTGCACCCGAAGAAACTGACGCGGAATCTGCTGCTCCCGACTACGAAGACACCGAAGCCGCCGATTTTGAAGGTGCCCAAATCGCCAGCGCTCAAGAGCCTCAAGAAGCTTCCGTTGCGTCTGAAGGATACCACGGGCATCGCCGTCACCACGGCAAGAAACACTCATACAGAAAGAAGAAGGAAGCTGAACGCTGGAGACGCGCTCTCATTCGCAACAGGCACAACAACACCAAAGGTGTTGGGGAGAAAAAGGATTACGGGACGACGGAGTACATCAAGAAGAGCTCTTACCCGTGAGTATCATATCTCTGTAGAAGACACAGCTTTGCATTTCTTTAGCTTACTTTATTATTCTTCAGTGTCAACGGCACACTCACCACCGGCGGAAGCCCCTGTGCGGGCTCCTGCGCTATCTACCCAGCTGAGGTTGCTTTTTCAGCTTCAATTACTGGAGATGCAGCACCCATTCAACCAGCTGAGGAGGTGACTTACAAGAACTCTTATTACAAAGGTGGAAAGGGTGCCATCAACAGAAACGATGGTGGAAGGATTCGCGCATTGGATCAGAGGGAGGATTACTACAAAAAGACCAGGATCTAATACCTTATCTTGGACATTCATTAATGTAAACCATTTAACTTTCGAATCAATAAATCATTTCAGACAATTCAATGCAAACTTCTTTTGTTTTCCTCCAATGCACTATGCAACATTTTTTCACGCTAGTGCATCAATGAAGGATGGTGGTGGATTGGGTTTCAATGCAAGCTCGAAGTTATCGCTGTTACCATCCCGTCCTGACCTTTGCTCTCCAGCCTTTCGTCAGTAAAACTAGGTCTGCAGGGCACCCACTAGACAAGTCCAGGCTCTACCAGTTGCATTTCAGATAACAATGGTTCTATCTGGGGTGAGGGTCAACTCCCATCCCTCGTCCTCTTCTCCATCAAAGTCATCACCTGTCAACTTAATGTGAACCACCACGTTGTCCACGTCTTTCATGTAGATGGAAGAGATAGGGTCTTCGTTATCCACATATTCTTCTTCATCGTGTGAATCATAGTAGTCGGAGAGGGCGTCAAGCTCTGCATTATCTCCAATATTGCGAGGGAGGCTGCGGAGGTAGCGAATCCTGTCAGGGGTTCTAATCCAGTTTGAATGACC